CCCCCCCCCCCCCCCCCCACCCGTGCCTAACTTCGAAAAAGTACATGTGTGTGAGAGAGATACACCGGTGAGTAACTTACTTCTTGGAAAACAGCAAGTTTTGCTTCATTCACGTCCTGAGCAGAGTACTCGGCAGTCTCTGCCAAACCCAGAGCATCTTCAAATACTTTCAGTGTGTGCAACGCATGTGGATCGCTGGAATGGACAGAGAGAAAGGGGAGGGGGAAGGGGCGAGCGAGCGAGCGAGCGAGGAAACAGCATGAGCCAGAAACACTTGGATTACATCAAAATATCTGTGCAGGAGGACACTAATGACAATCACGGCACACGATTTTGTCAATTTTTCTTCATCTTTTTCATTTTACTTCTTGTTATTGAATCTAGTACACAAAGATACAATTTTCAGAAAGGGAGAAGCGGCCAATCAAACGGGGCGGCTGCCATTCAACACACACACACACACACACACAATGGGGAAAGTCAGGCGAGGCTCGTGGTGGGATTCGAACACACGCAACCCGCGGGGTGATCAGTTGGTGACTTTACCGCTGGCATTGTCCTTGTTTTTCTTTTTCAATGATACGGATACGGATAATTTTATGCGTTTTATTTATTAGACACGATTGTAATGAACAGTGACGACGATAATGATGGGAGTATCCCTGTCCATGTTAGGGGGACCAAATGCGTCTAGTCCGGAGTGGAAAGGATAATCAGGCCGTGGATCTGTTCAGTAGTGAAGCACACTATGCTTCAACAGTCTAGATGTGGCACTGAGCTGAATGATAGCCTGTCCTTGGCGCGTACAAAATGGACCTAACCCACTTGACCAACGCCGAGAACAGGAAACGACAGAGGGAACAAGACAATTTTGACGGACTACAACAATCGACCGGGGCTTTTAAGTTGGACAGTAGTTATTGTCGCACTCCAGGTCACTGTTTTCGGATTAATCTTGGGATGGGAGTCTAACGGATATCATTGTCATGCAAACAACTCTCGAGCACAGTTTAACTGGCCACCAGCGTCAGCTTTATACACAGCTATTCCGACCGGTGTACGTTCCATGATCTGTTTCAACAGATCCACCTTCTGAGGTGGAAATCCAAGCCTGGCGGCATTACAAAGCGCCGTGCTTCAATGACTTTTCCTCAGCTCTGCGATGTAGTTTTGTTTGTCAAAACTACATAACGAACATAAAAAAACTTCAGAAAGTGTAAGGTGAAACTATAAAAAAAATCATTCATTCATACATTTGTTCTTCCTGTTCTGTTTTTCCCATTTTGATCTCATATTTCTGTACCTCCTTCCGACCAGTATCATCATTTTGGCAACAAGCACAATATGTATGACTAGCCACAAATAAAGTATTACAAGGAAAAAAGGGAAAGTAATTGAAGTATACAACAGTTTGTATCATAATTGGTCCCCAATTATCATTTGCTCCGATGACAGGTCACTTGTACGCGATCCGACCATGGGAGCTTGAATGCTTACACACATTGTGTTTTAGCCCACCGAGGTATGTGTGTGAAGACAGATACTAACTGCCCCCACCGTGGTTGGAATGCGAAACCGCACGTCTGTAGACCGTCCCACTTTAACTCTATCCAAGGGTCGGAACGCTTCGGTCACATTTGAGAAATGATTAGTGTCGACATGGCGTGATTGAGAAACACTGAAAATGAGCTTGTTGACCAATTTGTGTTCCCATCAGGTGCTCCATTGGACTGTTTAAACAATAGGATCATTTAAATGCGGTGCAAATGTTTATGATTATCGACAAAGAGCACTGGACAGCTGTTTCGTCTTGTTTGTGACTCGTCAGTAGTGCGTACTTATTGTGTCCCTGTCAGGAATCGAACCATGCCTGGTGCATTTGAAACACCGAACGGGCTAATCCAAACATTCACTATCTAAATATTATCATTGTATTTGCATTGTCACCATGCTTGTTCTCAAGTCGTTGTGATGTGTGTACGTATGTATCTATTTATATTCCTGAGTTGCGTGCACATCCATAAAGATAGACGAGCTTTTAGTGAACTATTGCCTTACGGCATGTGGTTGTGCAAAATCTACAGATGTAATCTCGCAAACAATTCCAAGTGATATCTCTTGCACCGTAGGTTTCGAATTATAAGATACGGTACAAATCAAACACTACCGGATACGAGAGTCCGGTTGGATTCTAAGATAATTTATGGCGCATGTGATGGGACAGTGAACGGTCACTGGGTTTCCGTGAACGCATAATTCATATCCGCTGATTGAGGGAATATCCCAACACACAGAGAGTGATCTAATGTTCGAAAGGAAAATTGACCCAGGGGGAGTTGTGTGTGTGCGTGCGTGCGCACAGATAGATTCAAGACCGATTCGTACACGGGCGCTTGTTTAGCTCAAGTGACTGTCGGATGAACACGGCTTGCTATCCGTATTCAAGACTATCCTCGAAAGATACATAGCTATTCCAGAGGACGAGGTAAAGAATAAGAGGCACCCAGAGAGAGCGAGAGACAGAAACTATTTGCACGTTAGTTCTTTATCAAGGTGAATGTTGAGAGTTGAGTAACCTCGTTCGGTGACTGACTCCGATGAATCAGAGTGAGTCGACCGAACGTTTGTGGGTGAGCGAGGATAAGACATGAATAAAATATTAATTTGTCCACGAAAAGTCGAACTGTATAAGACAACAACAGGAATGAACGGGGGAGGGGTGAACGAATGAAGTCGGGGAACACAGGGCTGGATGAGGGGCCCTCGGAGAGACAAAGCAAAGACGGCACAAAGACAAAAAATGCGATCACAGTCGAGAGAGAGCTATTTTCATTTCCATGGTTCGCCTGATTCAATGTGAAGCTGTTTCTTTGTCGAATACCCGGGCAAATAGACATGCACACGATCAGGGACTTACCGATAGGAGAAGAGGACAAGTGATTCAGGACGTGCGATAGCTCGGCCACCGTATGCACCGCCTTTCTCGCTGTTATGCGATCATTTCGGGGTGGGGTAGGTGGGGAGGTCCCGGTGGTATGCGGTGAGGAAAGAGCGAGAACGAGAAACTTAGCACCGGAGTCAGGTCATGGCAGAAACGAACAATGCAGTTTGCACCGTATAGTTATAATGGATGATTCGAGTGTCTAACACGGCCGCAGTATGAGCCATACATTAGGTGATTACAGTTTTCAATCGTAAACATGAGAAACCATGATATTTTGCACAGAGACAGGATGCGAGGGGGGGGGAGGTTATCAGAAGCACTTGAGTTCTCGTCTCGCACGAACAGAATCAACCACTCCCCCCCAGACATCAGAGCATCTTTTCATTCCTCGTCTTCAAGTCATTTGTCGGACTTTTCATAGTTTTCCTCCACTTTCCAACGGAACCTACCAGTTGTGCATGACGCGATGGACGATGGTTAGGCATTGCATAATGCCTAAATGCAGCCTCTCCATACTTCGGTAGGCAAATATACGTGGCGAAACGGAGAACAAAACGAGGTAGAAAAGTGAAACAGAAACAGAGACAGATCCCAAATGGCACTTACCGAATTTCACGATGAAGAAACTTGGATGTCATCAGCTGAGACAAGACGCGGTAGCTGGAATCGGGTTCAGCAGGGGAGGAGAAGCAGGAAAAACACAGAAAGCAAATGTACAAACGTGATGGTGTGGACAACGGAATGATTATAAGGTCAGAAAAAACCGGAATGCATGCGTTACCTGGCATAGTCGGGCGAATCGTAAGAAGGAGCGGGCAATGCGTGGGCCACATAGTGCACTGTATAGGGCATCACAAAATAGGAACACGAGTGTAGACGATCGAAAGCGAGCACGTGTCTGGATGTGCTCGGATCGAGCGGGACTGTGGGCAACTGCTTGATGAATTGTTGCAATTGATCTAGTCCGGCTTTCAATCCATCCGGTTCTCCATGCAGGCTGAATCNCGGGGGGGGGGGGGGGGGAAGAGGATGTGAGAGTTCTTTATTAGATTGGGGGAAATCTCCGGAGGAGTTGGAAACATTATCCGACACCATTCGCGCACGGGCGTGAAACACTGTTCTGTCCAGACACCACCAATTTGGTCGACAGACTAGAAGAAAGAGCCTGTTTGATTGTCATTCGGATTAAATATGCCAGTTGAAATAAGTCCACGCACGAGGAGAAAAGATGCCAACAACATAGTGCTAAGGCACTAGAACTAAAATGAAACGATATTGATTTATTGATCCGAAAAGACACATTGGCTACACAACCCTGTTGTTCGCGCGAAACACAAACGCTTACTTCAATCGCGCTGGAACCGTGATGTGATGCCAAATCGCCATCATTTTCTCGGTCAACTGATGAATAGTTGCATCCCGGGAGAGTCCCTGTTTACCCAGTCGACTTGCAATGTGTTTGATAAGTAGACCTTGCTCCAGTCCGTTCCATAGTTCTTGAAAACGGCAACTGGCTGACAGATTGGCGGCCGCACGACGCATAGCAAAGTGATGTCCTTGATGAGACAAAAAAGTAGGAAAGGATGGTGTAGTGCAATATTTATTCCACCAATCTGAATAGTATTCAGCCAGAAATGCACTACAATATGGTCGACCAAAGGGATCAGAAAAATCCTGAAATGATTAGGAGGGAACGACATGTTTGGTCGCTGGTAACTGACAAAACATCCGTACGTCGCTGAATCGCACCGGTGAAAACCTTTACGGGAACTGGGGAATAAAGAGAACACCTTGACGACTGCTGTCTTTATCCGCATCACGAACCGGTACTCGGGTGACCGCATAATGCTGGCATCCTGTCTTTCTTGACTACGTGCCACAAGCAGTCCAGTTTTTGAAGTTATCACCGGAAGAGGAAACTGTTGGAAGACTGTGCAAATAAAACCAATTGAACGTGCGTGGTACCAAACTGAGCGACAGTGAAGTAAACTAACACTAATGTTGAGTGACAATAGTAGGGCTTGATCATTCAAAAAGCTTAATGCACTGTTACTGAAACCGTTCAAATCATGCACAATAGATCTCCCAAATTGGAACTCAATTCGAATGGATACAGAGACACTTTCAGCATCGGAAGTGCTAGTTCTCCCACGCCCACGTGGGAACGCTTGGGACTATAAGCTGACTGTATTTGTGTTCTCTAATGAGCTGCAGATTCACGACTCATTACCTCAAACAGAATACTTTCCGTCCAGACTTATTCTGTTTGTTAGTCCCATCCCTGATCTGGTATGAACTGCTGAAAATAAACCCCTCCAATTTGACGACTTGAATCATAAATCGATAACTTTCCTATTACCCAGATCGGAAATTCAGTGCTGAAAATCGGCAAACCAAGCCTCGGCACTTGGAGGGGTGGACCTGATAGGCCCCTCTCCTAGAATAGGTGTGGTGTTGAACCGGACGATAACAAAGCTGTCTAACACCAAAGTTGGGTGGCTGTAACTGCATTCGAACCTCGAACTATAAGGTCCAAAGCACGCTGGTCACAGAGACTAAACCAACGGGCCACCAGTACCGTTATGATACGAAACTGGAGTAGTGTTCTGTATGACACAAATGAATGACGCGGCAAGAAATAATGCGTACACGATGCTGGTTGGCATTAACCGGAGTGTAACTCAGATAACAGAATACAAACATACGACTACTCCCTACCGGAATCAGCAATCACATTTGCGGACCACTCGCCCGAGGCAGACATCAGAATCAGGGTGATCAAACGTTGCACATCGGACCAGTTGGGTGCACGGAACAGACGTGACCAGAGCTCAAAAAAGTTGGGCAGTTTTGAGTCCAGACAGTAACCCGACAGATGAACTGCTGTGACCGCCTCGGTAGCATCCAATCTTGCAGATCCGGGAAGTTTGGGGGTCACGTGTTGCGTGACCCGGAGACCCCCAGTGTGTAGATCGATAGCCTGATCCATTTCCGAATAGGTCAGTCCATCTGCGCCCAGTCTGTTTGGGACAATGTGAGAGGGAATCGGAGGGAAAAGAAGAGCAGTAAAACAACTCAAATGGAATCGGGCATGTAAAACCAAAAGGTTTTCACAGAAATCAAAATACAACTGGCTTCCGGCGAAGTTGGTGCAGCCCTGTTAGACAAGACAATGTATGCGGAACGAACAGACACATATACTGTTCACAAAACTCGTCACATAGCTCAACTGAATCAATTGCAGAGTGACCAGAGTCGTCATAACGCATTAGGATGAGTAAGCTTCACCAACCAGGACAAATAATGAGCACCAGGCTCCACTAGCAGATGCCCATCCTAAGTGAAGCAAATTAGGTGGAGATAAACAGGAGCATCTCTCCCGAACAGTAGCTGGATAACAAAATTGAAAAGTATCGGGGCGGAAAAAGAACAATCCTTTTCGTAGACATTACTCATCAGGCCAGAGAGCTTGTAGGGGAGTGTATGCAGTCTGGGCATAGAGATACGCTACTTTTGGATAATAGTAAATTCCAGATAGAGAATATGGCTACTCGCAACATTTCAGTAGCATAACTCTGAAGCACTTACTACTGAGCACATTCACAGAGAGATAAGCGTTCAAAGTGATGGGTGCGTCCGTACGTTTAAGAAACCGCAAGACCTATGGAAATTGGAGAAAGATTCCGTGAACAGTACGGCGCATGTGCGCATGGATATTCTTACCGAGCCATAGTTTTGACACAGACTGACGCACACGAATAGTGTCCCCGATATTGACAAGGCAATCAAAGTCAAAGTTTTATTATGGGCGTTTTAACAAAGCTAAAGCTTATCATGCCCCATAGGATTTTCACAGAATGTTTTGAATAAATTCATAAAGTGAAAATAACAATGATAATAATATGCATGATCACTCAAGGAAGTTGAAATTTAAAATGTTCCA